ACATCTCCGCACTCCCCCTGTCCCGGATTTCCTGGGACACCTTGGAGATGTCTCTTTCTGGCCAAGAACTGCACAATTGGCAGCAGCCCTACACATGTTTTACGTCTCGAGGGACGGTCCGTAGCCCTTGGCTCAGTGACCTCCTTTCGGTTGCCCCCGTACCCTAAGCCCTAAGCCCTAAGCCCTAAACCCTAAACCCTAAGCCCAAAACCCTAAACCCTAAACCCTAAACCCTCCTCAGATCGCAGGCCGAGGCACCGGACTCTTCGGCTGCTTTGCGTTTCCCTTCGGCGCGGTGGTCGTCCTCCGCCGGGAGCTGGACGTGTGGAAAGTCTACGCCCCTGCCGGCGCAGTGGTGTGCGCCCTGGCACGGTTGAGATGGCCTAAACCCTAAACCCTAAACCCTCAACCCTCAACCCTAAACCCTAAACCCTAAACCCTAAAATCCGGCTTCTAATAAGGACCCCAAACGGGGGCCATAATCTTGAGAGCCCACCAGAGCGAGTTTACAGTCGTGCACCTCTTTTGCTGCTTTGGGGCCGGGCTTGGGGTACAAAAGAGAGAGGTTCAAGGTTCAGGGTGGATATCATGGAGGGCTTAGTTCTTGGGCATTGGGCCTCCTGCACATTGAGTCACTGTAGCCACACCTTCAGTTCCTTTTGGATCTCAGGTTACCCAGTTTCTTTTGCTGCTGCTTTAAGCATATTTAAGGATCTAAAGAACAATCCTGATCTGTTTTTGGAACCTTAATGCCCTTCTTCCTACACCCTATAAACCCCGATCCTGCTGATCCCTGAGCCCTAGAAGCCCTGGAAGCCCCATAGTCCCCAAAGCCCCTGAAGCTCAGTGGCCCAGTGGTACCCCTTTCCCTTTTTGGTTCAGGGTTCCCTTGTAAGGTAAGCAACCCCGAAAGGGCACCCTCATCATAATAATATAGGGTTTTGGGCATTCGTGTCCACCCCTTACTTACTTCAAAGGCTGCGGGTTTTGGCGCTTGCTCATATGGATACTGGGCAACCAAGAAAGCCAGAAAGCTCTACACCCAGGTGCCATGAGTGCGGGCCGGCGGGCGCGCTGCCCCACGCACCACATCCCCAACAGCCCGGCCCTGTGCTTTGGCCGGTGCTTGCGTATGGGGTTCTTCTGGTTTAGGGTTTGGGGTTTAGGGTTTAGGGTTTAGGGTTTAGGGCCCTAAACCCTAAACAAATCGCCAGTTTTGAAGGGGGTTCCAAGAACAGTCAAGGCACCCGTCCGGCCTCGTGCGCCTGACTTTCGGATGCATTCGTCGTAGTCAGCCCAAGCTCCAAAGAAGTTTAGGGTTTAGGGTTTAGGGTTTAGGGTCTAGGGTTTAGGAAGCAGCCTGCTTTTGTAGGGGCCCTCTTCGGGCGGACTTCCTTATACCCGTGCAATACACCTGTTTCTTCCGACAAGATGAACAGAAAATAAGACTGAGACTCGCCCCGTGACCCGCGCAGGGGGTCTCCATGTACATCATTTGGGGTAGGCTGCACACCCTAGAGTCTTACCTGACCCCTAAATCCCTAAACCCCGAAACTCCTGAACCCTAAACCCTAAACCCGCTAACCCTAAGCCCCAAACCCGAAACCCTAAATCCTAAACCCTAAACCCTAAACCCCAAACCCTAAACCCCAAACCCTAAACCCTAAACCCTAAACCCTAAACCCTAAACCCTAAACCCTAAACCCTAAACCCTAAACCCTAAACCCTAAGCCCTAAACCCTAAACCCTAAACCCTCAGGAAGAACCTGGGCCTTCCAACAGAAGCACAAGAGCCGGTCCCCGACGAGATCGGGGCGCACTCCGGACGCCGGATCGAGGTCGCTTCTTAGGGCTTAGGGCTTAGGGCTTAGGGTTTAGGGTTTAGGGTTTGGGGTTTGGGGGTTTGGGGTTTCGGAGTTTGGTTTTTTTGTTTTTTTCTAATGGGTCCCTTTTAAGGGGACGGACCCTGGGATGAGATGTCCTTGAAAGCGGCATCACGTCTGGGAGAAGAGTACCCACCTTTTGGTTCTACCCTAAACCCTAAACCCTAAACCCTAAACCCTAAGCCCTAAACCCTAACCCAAAACCCTAAATCCCTAAACCCTAAACCCGTTCCCTTCTATTCAGCCCCATTTGAGGGTTCAGGGCTCAGGGTTTAGGGTTTGGGGTGCCCAGAGCAGGCCCTTATTTCCTTTTCTTAGAGCTTAGGTTCCGTTACCCCTGTTAAGTCAAAACGAGTACCCTTGTTAAATCCTAGGCTACTCTTCGCTCGAACATCGACACAGGGCTTCGGGGCTTTAGGCCCCCAAGCCCCAAAACCCTAAAGCCTGAACCCTAAGCACTGAACCCAAAACCGAAACCCTCAACGCTAACCCTAAATCCTAAACCCTAAACCCCGAACCCTAAACCCTAAACCCTAAACCCTAAACCCCAAACCCTAAACCCCAAACCCTAAACCCTAAACCCCCCCTACCCCCTTCGCCCTCCGCAGGTCGTGTGACGTCGGGCGAGGGTGGCGACTCCTCGAACATCCTGATCCCTCCGTGCCGCAGAAACGCTCCTTGCCAGCCTATGGGTGCCCCATTGCCCTTGTTTGTGTATAGGGTTTAGGGTTTAGGGTTCAGGGTTCAGGGTTTAGGGTTTAGGGTTTAGGGTTTAGGGTTTAGGGTTTAGGGTTTAGGGTTTAGGCTTTGGGCCACCAAGGCTCCTCAAAGCAGCCTTGCGAGCCTTCGGCCATGAAGTGAAGGTGCCTCACGAAGTTTGGGTGTTGGTTTAGGGTTTAGGGTTTGGGGTTTGGGGTTTGGGGTTTGGGGTTTGGGGTTTGGGGTTTGGGGTTTGGGGGTTTGGGGTTTAGGGATTGGGGGGTTTCGGGGTTGTGGCTTAGGGCATAGTGTTTAGGGGCTTTAGGGTTGAGGTCTTTTGGGCTTTGGGTCTTAGTGGGTGAAGAGGGCATAGGAATGGTGGGGGTTTCGGGGGTGTGCATAGAATTGGTCGGGCCTGCCTGGCTTATTTCACAGGACCCTAAATCCTAGGCCCTAGACCCTAAACCCCAAAACCCCAAAACCCCAAAACCCCAAAACCCCAAAACCCCAAACCCCAAACCCTGAACCCTAAACCCTAAACCCTAAACCCTAAACCCTAAACCCTAAACCCTAAACCCTAAACCCTAAACCCTAAACCCTAAACCCTAAACCCTAAACCCTAAACCCTAAACCCTAAACCTAAACCGCTGGTGTCTACGGCGCTTCGAATCCTCAACCTTAAAACAAAGCTGTCATCAAAGCTTCGGCCCCAATCTCTGAACCCCAAGCCCCAAGCCCTACCTCAGACCCCAAACTCTAAACTCTAAACCCTAAACCCTAAACCCTAAACCCTAAACCCTAAACCCTAAACCCTAAACCCTAAACTCCTAAACCCTTAAGCCATGGTAGCCCAGGCGTACCCTTTTCCCTTTTTGGGGTTTAAGGTCCCCTTATAAAAGTAACCAACCCCACAAAAGGGTGCCCTTATGATAATATGGTTGCTGGGCTACGAAGAAGCCCCAAACTCCGAACCTAAGTCCTAAAGGTTCAGGACGCTTAAAACATCAAACAAAGCGTCTCCAAACCCTCACCCCAAAGGCCGAAAACTCTCAACCCTATAAAAATTCTCAAGCCCTAAACCCTAAACCCTAAACCCTAAACCCCAAACCCTAAACCCTAAACCCTCAACCCTAAGGGAGCAGACTCGGTGGAGGACAGGCGGCAGAATCCCAGCACTCGTCCCCCGTCGACTCCCACTGCCAGTGCCGGGGGGTGGAGGACTGGCAGTGGAAGCTCAGGGGTGTGGCTGAACTCTTCAGGGTTTAGGGTTTAGGGTTTAGGGTTTAGGCTGTAGAGTTTAGGGTTTGGCGTTTTGGGTTTAGGGTTTAGGACTTTGGGCGCGTGTCGTCATCAAAGTTGTTTCAACCCTCTTGGATGCCGCACAGGACCCGCGACTCGAAGCACGGCGCGGCGAGCTTCGCGACTCGCCTCAGGCCGGGCTTGGGTTTAGGGTTTAAAATTTTGGGTTTAGGGGTCAGGGTTTAGGGTTTAGGGTTTAGGGTTTAGGGTTTAGGGTTTAGGGTTCCCTTTGCAAATGGATGTCGTCCCATTCTGCAGAACGAAGCAATTGCGCATGTAGCGGAAGGGCTGTGCAATCTTGAGATTGTCTTGGAAAGCGCTGTGAGATAGTAACGCTCAACACTTTCAGACTTTGGTGAGGCAGGAATTGTCAGTGTTTTGCTTTGCCGGAGAGAGTGGTGTCTGCCACAGCATGCAAGCAGATGAAGTGACCCTGCCACGCCTGAAGCATGGGCTGCTTCTTGCAACATCAGCCCTAAACCCTAAACCCTAAACCCTAAACCACCCTGAACCCTAAACCCTGAGCCCTAAACCCTAAAACCTGAACCCTAAACCCAGCGGTTTCTTGCATCGACCATGCTCAGCCTTGTGTGTTTCGAGTTTGGGGGTTGCAGGGTACTTGGGGTCATAGGGTTCTGGCTTGTACGCCCCGAGGCCCACATCCGAACCTGCGCAGGTAGAGACGACTTGGGGTTAAGGGTTCAGGGTTGAGGGTTTAAGGGTTTAGGGGTTTAGGGTTTAGGGTTTAGGGGTTTCGGGTTTAGGGGTTTGGGGTTTAGGGGTTTAGGGTTTCGGGTTTAGGGTTCAGAGTTTAGGGTGCAAAGTCTTGCGAAGAAATTGATGGGAGGAATTCGAGCAGAGAAGCCGTGGCAGGCCATCTTCGTCCTCGTGGTCTTCAGCGCTACCAACGGACGAGTTGTGCAGAACTACCAGGAGGGCACTGGAGGAGCGATTTACAAAGCACTCTTTTCAACGCCTAGGGTTCAATGTTGACCTCGAATTAGCGCCCCCCCCCCGTCCCCCTCTCTCAATTGATTTTTGTTTCCCTTTATTGAGTGGGGGGGGGGGGGGTCGGTGGGGGCAGGTATTTCAAGGCGCGGGCAATCGCTTCGGAAAGGGCAATTCTCTATGGAAGCCCCCACGCACCCCCCCCCCCCCCCAAAAAAAAAAAAAGGATTTCTTGTTGTTGAGGGGGGTTTATAATCGAGTTCCGGGATCCGAATTCTTGAATTACGGAGGGGGTTTATAAATATGAGGTTAACATTAGGGCCTGGGTATGGGGTTTAGGGCTTAGCGTAGCCCTTCACAACCTACAAGTAGAAGTTTAAACTCCAAACTCCAAACCCTGAACCCCAGGCCCAAACGCGTGAACCCTAAACCCCAAACTCTGAACCCCAAGCCTGAGCCCAAAACATTGAACCCCAAACCCAAAACCCCCAGCCCTGAACCCCAAACCCCAAGCCTTAAACCCCAACCCCAAACCCCGTGAACCCAAGCCCAAAACCCCAAGCCCTGAACCCCAAACTCTGAACCCCAAACCCCAAACCCCAAACCCTCAAGCCTGGACCCTAAACCCCAAACCCTAAACCCTGAACCCTGAACCCTACCCTAAACCCTGAATAGTTCAAGTGCATCCAGCCCGGGTCACTCTAATCCGCACAGGGCGCGGGGGTTTAGGATTTGCGTTCGCCACGTGGCCCTTGAGGTTCAGGGTTCAGGGATTTTGGGTTTATGGGGGTTTTGGGATTTAAGACTTTTAGGCTTTAGGAATCTTCGGCTTTAGGACTTCGGGTTTGGAGATTTTTCGGGTTTAGGGGTTTTGGCTTGTTGTTGGGATGTTCCCCCTAAAACTAACAGTCCTCAATGGGGATCATAGTCGGGGGTATAATCCCTATGAAGGACTGTTAGTACAAGGGGGAGCGGTTCAGGACTGAGGGTTCGGGGGTTCAGAAGTTAGGATCTAGGCAACGGCATAGGCAACGGCATCAGCACGTAGCACGAGACGCATTGCCCGACTAGATTTGGCTTGGGGTGCACGTTTAGGGTTTAGGGTTTAGGGTTTAGGTTTTAGGCTTTAGGGTGTACCCTGCAAAGCCCCCCCTTAGTTACAGCTCTCAAGTGCAGGACATGCCCAATGCCTCCCCGGCGCGGTGTGCCAGCTGAAAATGCTGAGGGAGGGTTTCGGGTTTACGGGTTTAGGGGTTCAGGGGGTTTAGGGTTTAGGGGTTTAGGGTTTAGGGGTTTAGGGGTTCAGGGGTTCAGAGGTTCAGGGGTTTAGGGTTTAGGGTTTAGGGTTTAGGGGTTCAGGGGTTCAGAGGTTCAGGGGTTTAGGGTTTAGGGTTTAGGCTAGGATGCCCAGTAGTACCCTTATTCCCTTTTTGGGGGGTTTAGGTTCCCTTTTAAACCCCTTAAAGCAAAAAAAGGGCACCCTTTTTAAGCCTAGGTTACTGGGCAGCCTAGTAGGGGGCTTTCAGGGCTTTTATAGGGGCTTTTCGGCTTTTTTTGGGGGTTTGAACCCCAAACCCGAAGTAACCCTGGGGCGCCAGAACCCGGAACCCGGAACCCTGCCAAAATCCGGCAGAGTAGGGCTGGTACCCCCTACCCCATGCCCGGTTTAGGGTTTAGGGTTTAGGGTTTAGGGTTTAGGGTTTAGGGTTTAGGGTTTAGGGTTTAGGGTTTAGGGTTTAGAAACCCTAAACCCCAAACCCCAAAGCCTAAACCCTGAACCCTGACTAGAATACGACAACCCCGCCGATCCGATGCTGGATGAACATGCCAGAACTTCAACAGGAAAGCAAGGTCGAGTTTTCGAGGTGTAGGGCTTAGGGCATTACGGGGTTAGGGGTTTAGGGGGTTCAGGGTTTTATACTTTAGAGGTTCTGGGCTAATTCCTAACCCCTCAAACCCACAACCCTAAACCCTAAACCCTAAACCCTAAACCCTAAACCCTAAACCCTAAACCCTAAACCCTAAACCCTAAACCCTAAACCCTAAAACCCTAAAACCTAAACCCTAAACCCTGAACCCTAAACCCTAAACCCTAAACCCTAAACCCTAAACCCTAAACCCTAGAACCAGACGTGCCGATCTGTGTCTGGCAGTGGGCTTGACATCTTCGCACACCCGCCAGCCTCATCCTCCAGCCGCATGAAAAGCAGATGCAAGCAGGCCCCAGTTTCCTAAACCCTACAGGGCTTATTTAGGGGTAGTTTGGGTTTAGGGCTTAGGGGGGGAGGGGATAGGGTTCCCTGAACCCTATAGGCCCTAAGCCCTAAGCCCCGAAACCTTCAGCCTTTACCCCTTTCAACACCCAGCGCCCAAAGCGGCCTCAGGCCCTGAAGCCTCCAACTTCACCCTGAAAGTAAAGGCTTCAGGATTTAGGGGCTTATCGACGAGCAATGAGGATTTAGTTTGCAGAGTTTGCAGGGTTTCTAGGGTCTGTAGGGTCTGCAGTCTGCAGGGTTTCTAGGGTTTGTAAGGTTTTGTAGGAACCCTAAACCCTAAACCCTAAACCCTCAACCCTAAACCCTAAACCCTAAACCCTAAACCCTAAACCCTAAGCCCTCAAAAGCCTACCCCTGCAGCCCTCCAGCCCTGAACACCCGCGTTGGGGTTCGTG